TTTATATATTATATATACTATAAACTAGCTATTTATATTCTAGGATTACTGCTCTCCAATAGTTTCCTTTTAAATAACTTTATTTATGATATATTTAATGTTTATTGATACTTTTCATTACGCTTATTAATTTTAGTAACGTCATTCACAGTGAACTACGATGCGAACAGGAAACATAAAACGCCAACAAAAGTCCAACGATAAACAGTTAAATAACTGCCTGGGAATGCTTAGGAATGATAAAAGCAATAAGCAAAAATAAGAAGAAGAAAATCAACTAGACATGCCGCGAAATTCGCATAACTTCAAATCAAGCTAAAATACGTCTTATATAAATAACAATAATGGAGTCCAAGATCCACTTAGATCCACTTAGAAGTCAACTCTCTAAGCCAGGGATCAAACGGGGCGGCGCTTGAACCAATTGCAGCCATGCTATGCGCACCCATTGGTTCTCTTTGCCGCAGCTGCTCAAACGAACGCACACAGACGCACACATGCATGCGTTGAGAGCGAGAGCAGAGAGCAACTGGTAGAGTGAGTTGCCCTGCTCGCACACACGGCGGCTAGCGATCACTGCACAGTGAGAGCGCTTCATAACTGTGTCTGTCTCGCTCTCTCGCCAGCCACCCTCGATGCGTGGGTTATGCTGTTTGTTGTTTTTGTTCTTGGTGGCAAACAAAAAAACTTGTTTTTGTTTGTTGGTGTTCTGCATGCACGAGGCAGCGCTGCCGTTGCCGTCGCTGTCGCCGTCGCGTCGTCTGAGAATCTCACAAATTCGTTTTAGTCTCGGCTGCTGACCGTTTCAAAATCAGTTTCGAGCTGTCAAGCAAACGAGCAGCATCAACAAACAGCAACGTGCGCATGCGCCTTACCCAAACAAACTGAAAAGAAAACTCACAATTGAAAAGAAAACAGAAAACAGAAAATAGTAGAAGAAGTAACTGAACTAGAAAAATAAGATTCTTGTGCTGTTAATAGTGTTGGTGAACGTGCACACATATCAATTAATCAAAGTATTAAAACGGATTATAATAACACAGACATGGCTGTATCGGCACTTAACATGACACCCTACTATGCTGGATATCCCTTTCAAGGTAAGCATGCGACAACGATCATCATCATCATCAACAACAACAGCAATAGAAACAGCAATAGCAATAGAAACAGCTTCAGCATCTAAGCATCAACGCTCTATTACCAATTACCACAATTACGACTACAAAACGTCGTAGAAAATAGTGCCCGATCACCGTGATCATCATCATGATCAAATGGGGCAGCGCTTTCGCCGGCTACAAACGAGAGATCATTACCCGCTCGTCCCCTTGTCCGTTTGTCCGCTCCTCTGCTGGTCCGCTCGTACAACAATCATGATCAGCTTTTTGACTTATTGATTGTGATCACAACTTGCAGCCAGCCCCAACCTTTTTCCAGCCAGCCAGTCAGCCAGGCGACGACGACTCACTGTCCAGACTTTGCAGACTTTTTGGCGCGCTCTTCTCGCCTTTTCAACGGTCTGGAGTCGGCTCCGCTGCTTTGATCTTGGCTCAGCGTCTGATGTTTGGGCCTCTCGTGTAGCACGTAGCAGCAACGTCAGCGCCCCAAAACAACAACAACAGCAACAACAACTGAGCTGGAATCTTTGAGCTTTTTGGGGCTGGCCTTTTATACTCTGATATTACCTGGCACAGCTGGACGCTTGTCCGTCTCTGCATCTCTCCGTCTGTCCGTCCGTCTGGCTTATGGATTATTAGTTTGATTTGATTGCATGGGCTGCACAGCTGCACAGTGATCAGCATTTTCCATGCCTACTGCTCAGTTCAGTTCTTTCTTTTTCTTTTTTTTTTTTTTTTGCTTTTTTCTTGTGGCCCACGCAAATTGGCAATTTGCGCTTTGTTATGTTTACATGCGAATTGGCAAACGAAAAGACAAATGGCCAACGAATAGCCTCAGCCTTAGACAATAGATCGTGCGAACTGATCCTTCTGGCCAACAATGCTAACTGCATAATTGGATTACTTATTGCCGCTCAATCGAGTAGCGAAGAAAAGTTAATTGAAGATCACTTGAGGATCACCCGAAGATCGCTTGAGAGCAACTTCGAAAGGCCACACGCAGCAAAGAATTTTCAAAACAAAAACATGTACATCTTATTTTGAGGATAATTTTAAGTCTTTTTGTACTCGAAGATCAGCTAACCTAATCTCGTCATTTCCATTTCTGTTGCTCTTCTTCAGGACAGGGACGCGTCAACCAGCTTGGCGGCGTCTTCATCAACGGTCGTCCCTTGCCCAATCACATTCGCCGCCAAATCGTGGAAATGGCCGCCGCTGGGGTTCGTCCTTGCGTCATCTCCAGGCAGCTGCGCGTCTCCCATGGCTGCGTGTCGAAGATCCTCAACCGCTTCCAGGAGACGGGCTCCATTCGGCCGGGCGTCATTGGCGGAAGCAAGCCCCGCGTTGCCACGCCCGACATCGAGGCAAGGATTGAGGAGCTCAAGCAGTCGCAGCCAGGCATCTTTAGCTGGGAAATCCGTGCCAAGCTCATCGAGGCTGGCGTCTGCGACAAGCAGAACGCGCCCTCAGTCAGCTCGATCTCGCGCCTGCTTCGCACCACCTCGGGCTCCGGCTCTGGCAACGGCACTGGCTCCCACAGCATCGATGGAATCCTGGGCGGTGGCGGTGGCTGCTCCGCTGGCAGCGAAGATGAGAGCGAGGACGACACCGAGCCCAGCGTGCAGCTGAAGCGCAAACAGCGCCGCTCCCGCACCACCTTCTCCAATGACCAAATCGATGCTCTGGAACGCATCTTTGCGCGCACCCAGTACCCCGACGTGTACACCCGCGAGGAGCTGGCCCAGAGCACTGGCCTCACCGAGGCCCGTGTCCAGGTGTGGTTCTCCAACCGTCGTGCGCGCCTGCGCAAGCAGCTCAACACTCAGCAAGTGCCCAGCTTCGGCGGCAACTCCACAGCCCCGTCGTATGGCTCCAGTGCTGCTGCTGCCACCAACATGGGCATGGGCCTGTACAGCACACAGTCGTGGCCCGCCAGTGGAGTTGGCTATGAGGCGAATGCCGGCTACAGCGGCTCGGTGGCTTCCATGTCGCCCGCCAGCAGCAGCAGCAGCTCCGCTGCCCACAGCCCGGTCCAGACTCAGTCCCTGCCCCAAGCACAGGTCAGCAGTAGCAACAGCTTCATGAACTCCGCCTACAGCATGAGCACAGCCACCGCTGGCTACTCAGCCACTGCTGGCACCTCCACTTATTCCATGCCCACAACAGCCGCCAGCTCGGCAGAGCAGCTGCGCTCCCAGTTCGCCTCCGCCGCTGCGTCTGGCTCTCATCATCCTTCGTCGTGGGACAGCTACAACTTTGCCGGCTCCTTCTTCCCCAGCGCGAATGCGAATCCCATGGGCGGCTACCACCAGACGGTCGCCCCCGAGCCCAAGAGCTCCATGATGGCAGCTGGAGCAGCCTATCCCTATTTCGGATTTTAATGGAGTCTCCCTCATCTCCAGCACTTGCTCCAGTTCCCCAGCTAGAGGCTTCGCTGCTCTCCTAGCTGGCTCTATTCTCTAATCAGTGCCTGTTTTTTATGCAGATCTTTGACTATTTAAAGAGTTTTAGTTAAGAGCTTAAGACTGTTTATACTAAGTTTAAGCGTAATTTTAAGATTTTTAACAATTACTTAGGAAACTATTAAAATAAGTTCGAAATCAAAATAAATATAAATATACGAATAAGAATTATAAAAAGGTTTTTCTTTATGGTTTGAGCTATCGGTATGAATGTATTTATAAAAGCGAATGCTCTAGCTGGCGATGTTCGACTAGTACATACCCTGAGTCCTCTGAAGAAATGATTTTTCAGACATTCTCATTCTGCTAAATAACATTTCTTATGGATGGAAGAAATTAAGAAAATTAATGACAGTAATTTATTTTTATTCACTAAAGGATAAGTCTATGGTATTTCAGAATGTGTGTTGTTCTATATTGAGGCAAATATGGAGAGGTATACACAATTTTAAATAAACAAGAAACCTGCTCCTATTGCATTCAATATACACTTAATAAACGAAGTCAAATTATCGATATTTATCGATGATGAGAACATAAAGTATCGAAGCAATTTATAAACTCATACTAGTGTAATCTTTCAGCATACAACATTCTTGGTGCGCTGCGTTTCTACAGACTGTCAGGCATGGCTAGATCGATTTAGATCGTTATCCGAGTCCAGAATTTATATACTCTTTGATGTTACACACATCATACTTCCACATACTTCCATTTGATGTTACACACATTTTTATATACCCTACATTTACATTTTTAAAGGTGTAATATAAATATGCAAAGATATCATACCCTTTGTTGACATGAGATAAACATTCAGTAACTAGCCCATACTTGATAATCTCAACTGATTTATAGGAAAAGTATTCTAAATCATTAAAGCTCTAAATCATTATAATAGTTTTAATCATTGATTGCATTAATTTCAAATTCACTTTGTATTGCTTAGATAGACTTTGAATAATAATCTTACGTAAATGTGTAATATAGTTATACAATTATATAAAGTTTCTTAAACAAGGAGATACAGGTAAGGATTTGCTCTTGGTTTGAGGAGCAAATATTACTGCAAAATAATTATCAAATTGTATTCTACATCACATATGAATAAACCTCCTAGCACATATTATAAAAGAGTCGTCGTACAAACTCCTATTATGTCCTATATCTGTAACTAGTTTAAATACTATCTTAAGCTACTTTATGTTGCATCCATGGGTGATCTTGGTGATCTCATTTGGGAGACTATAGAGCTCTAAGCGCCAGTTCAGTTGCAAGGAAAACTACAAAAGATTCATACTCCATTAAACTAAGGACATCGCAAATGTCACACAGGAAAAATACTGAAAGAGAAACGTGGACCACACAGAAATGTGGACATGTCCAAGCAGCCACAACAGGTTCAAGCCCAGCCCAGCTAATCCCTCAAAATCGTACAGAAATTGTCCCTTAAATTGACAGGATAACAATAGTTCAGCTAGCGTCGATTCAGGCCTGAACTAGAGCTCTTTCTGTGGGTTCCCAGTGCTCGGCTGTGAACAAGGGGACGACAGGGCGAGGACTGTATGAGTTGACAATTAAACAATTAGAGACAACACATTTTGCGACTCGATAATACGAAAATAATTTACAAAATTCCTTCGATTGTCCAAAGAGAGCCGACGTCTAGCGACAAAATAGAGCAATTGACAATGGGAGATGAGCAAAATATGAGAGACCACCAACGTCAGTGCGGGCTCCTTTCAAGATGCCGCCTTGTGGGCTAGTCAAAGATGAGAGGCCCAGGCCGAAGAGCTGGCGAAACGGGAGTGGACAAAGCCATTGACAAAATGCTGGGATGGAGGAATCGAGGGATGGAGAGAGGGGGTGTAGACCGGCTCAAATGTTGTAACTAGTTGTAGTAGGTCCTGATTGTCCTAGTTACGACTTGCTTGGGTGGCTTAGGTAGCTCTACCGCTGCAAGGGTCCTCAATTATGTGTGCACAGCAGGCGTCGCACTTACCACCTAGAATGAATACATATACATATCTCCAAGGGAAGATGCCTGCCGGGCAGTCAGCCTGCCGGCCTGCCAGCGTGCCTGCCTGAGCATCAGCGAGCGTCTAAATGAAAACATCAATTAGCTCATATCGCTCGGGTCTAACTGCCCGGCTAGTGGTGTGGCAGGTCCTGCGCATACCAAGACGACGACAGGTTAGCTCCGTCTCCCTCGCTTTACAAGGGTGATAATGTGTGTCAACTGTGACAATCATAATGGATCGCTTCCTAGGGTTCTCCTATGCTGCTCTCTGCTCTCTGCGAGCGTCACTTTGTCGTACAGTAGCCGAGCGGCTTCTTCTTTGGCTTCTCTCTTCTGGCAGGGCCACCAACTTGGATATTTTTATACAAATTTAATTTGTGTGGCAAGTCGAGTGCAGGAGCTGACAATAACTCCGAGCCTCTTCCTTTCTGTGGCTCTTTGAACAGAACTGTTGAAAGCCACTCCCGGCCTTTGAGTGCGTCTGATTTATGCGTTTTTGATAGCTGAGCGCAAGATCGAATGCCAGCTCAGACGACCCGGTAGCATGCGAAATTTATCTTTTTCTTTCCTTTCTTTTCTTTTTTATCTGAGCCCACTTCCTGTGTGGCCCAAACGGTATGCTGAATAGCAAGCACTCGGCGTGTCCGGTAGCTGGCGGCAAAATGTAGACGCTCTGTCTCCCATTGCCGCACTTTGATTGATGATCGGCATCAAAGGCGTCCATAATGCGAATTGTGATCGGATTGAAATGGTAGCGACTGGCGAGAACCGCAATGTGGGAACTTTTTGTGCAGTTGAACTTTGGCAGAAAGATTGTCAAGCCATTTAGTTGGTTACAGGAGAATTACTCTAAAGTGGAATAGCTGCATGCATATATACATTATGTTTATTTTGATTGGCAACAGATGGAAATGTAAACATCGTTTCTGGTTAATTGGGCCTTTTTTAATGGGGAATAAAACATGTCAATGATTCTGAAATCTATGTACTCATGTAATCATTCGGAATCTATATATACTAGCTAAAACTCAATATTTCCAATATTTATTGTATAATCCTCGTTCTTCGATTCGCTAAAATGTAAGCTAAAATAATATTATTATATATATTGTATTATTGACTTAGTACAATACATAAGCTCTTTGTCATACATTAGCTTTTCAATATTTTTGTAACGAAACACAAACTTTTTAAAAATGTGCATTAACTTTTTATTTATTCTACAAAATATATGGCTACAAGGTAATGAGTCTTACTACGATTGAATTCTCTGATTACCCAGTGATTGTGCTTCTACTATTAAGTACATATGTAGCCTAGAGTCTTTAATAAGAAATAGAACAGTAGAATTGGAAATCTGGTTATATTCAGGTCATGTCAGCCAATCTAGTCGTCTACTAAAACTCATATCGAACATGTTGCTGTGTGTGTTGATATTTATTTAATAGAGATTATAATTAATATGGGGTTGAAAGTAACTCAGAAATTAAGCACTGGAAACTGCAGTATAATTAATCAAATTCAAATATAATGTAATCAAATTCTATATGGCTAAATTTTAGCTAAATGTAAAGAGCTGAAATACGTCAGCTATCAAATAATTAGTTTCGAACATCTCTCTCCACGTATTATATATATTATATACACTTACACATATATAGTTATAGTCCCACAAGTCACAATCCGAATCCTTTACACTCTCCAGTTATTTGGCGCCTGTGCCGCAACTTCGCGCCCAAATCGCATGTGTCCAATGCGAACTGCAACCGTTAATTGCCAAAGTGGAAGCCGAGCGCCACTTAATAAACATGTATGGGCAATATGACAGGCACAGACAATTTACAAGTGCTCATGATGAACTGATGAAATTTTCCGCTAATTTTTCACGTACTCAGCCGCTCGAATCAACCACACGCCAAAAACAAAAACATATACATATATAAATTTATCATATATTCATTATAAATTATTTACGTTTATTAACCAAAGAGAAAACAACAACAACAACAGCAATTCAGGTGCTATACACGATAAAAGATATTAGTTCATGGGTTTTTTTTTTGTATTTTTGGGAGCGTTGATAAAGCATCAAAACCAATCTGATAAGGAACGCTTTAAATTCCGTTACGTAACGCAAATTTAGAGCGTTACAATTTGCGTGACAGAGATGGCAACAGAAACCTGGTTCACACCACGCTCGCATGAGTGACTGTTCTCATTTTCGGTCTTGGGTTTTCGGTTTTCGGGGCTGTCTCTGTTTGCTGCTCTTCCTCTTTCTCTTTGCCAAAGGCAATTTGTGCATGAATTTTGATCGATTCGCGTTGAAAATTTGATAAAGTCAATGTTTGAGTTTGCCATGTGAGTGTTTATATGCGTGTATATACGTATGTATATATTTTGGGAAGTGCCGAGAAGAATCTGCACCTCCAAAAGAAATATTCTGTTGAACCTTTTGCAACAGGTGGCTTAAGCTTAAAGAATTGTTGTTATAACGGAGATAAACTTTGTTACAGTTTTAGTTAAGGTCTTACATAAT